ATCTTGGTGCAGGACTTTCCCCTCAAGCGCCAAGTCCTCTACCAGGTCCGCATGGCGCTGAGCCCCGCTGACGGCATGTTGGCCACCTCCACCATCAAGGTACGTCACTGCCTTCGTGTCACCTCCCCGCCGGTCACTGCCCCCTTCCCGCCCCAGGAGGTTCAACCCTGTATGAGCTGGTGGAGAACCTAAATGGGGCTGGTGGAGAACCTCAATGGGGCTGGGGGGACCTGGGGGAGGATGGGCATCACGGGGGGGCTTGGGGGTGATTGCTCTTGGGGGCAGTCATCTCAGGTCCTTGGGGACAGTGACCCCAGGGTCCTTGGAGATGGTCACCGTATGATTAGAGGATGACCACCCCGAGGTCCATGGGGATAGTGACCTCAGGATCTTTGGGGCCGGTGACCCTGAGGTCCTGGGAGATGGTCACCCCTGGGTCCATGGACATGGTGACCTCTGGATCTTTGTGGACAGTCATCCCAGGTTTCTTGGAGATGGTCACCCCTGTGTCTTTGATGATGGTCACCCTAGAGCCCTCCAGGACTCTCACCCATTCCCCAGCTGTGGGCGCCATCTGGTGTCCCCTGCCCCATCCCTGTGGTGCAGGTGCCACCTGGTGTCCTCTGTCACCGCAGGTGTCGGCCAAGTCCCTGCCGCAGGCAACGGGGAAGCAGTTTGTCTCGGTGACGGCACAGGTGGCCAAGGTGACCTTGGAGAAGGTGCTGCTGGTGTCACTCCAGAGCGGCCACATCTTCGTGCAGACCGACAAGCCCATCTACACCCCCGGCTCCACTGGTGTGTCCTTGAGGTGCTGGTGGCACCTTGGGGTCTTGGGTCCCCTCCATGGCACCTTGGGGTCTTGGTGGCACCTTGGGGTCTTGGGTCCCCTCTATGGCACCTTGGGGTCTTGGTGGCATATTGGGATGTTGGGTCCCCTCCACGGCACCTTGGGGTGCTGGTTTGTCCTTAGGGTGCCAGGGTCCAGCACCCATTTGGAGACATCTCCCCTGGCATCTCCGCTGGGACCCAGCACCCATTTCTGGCTGTCCCCACACCATCCCTGCTCACCTGTCCCCACCGTGTCCCCTCCCAGTGCTCTGTCGCCTCTTCGCTCTGGGCCACCTCATGGAGCCAGCACCCAAGACGGTGATCGTGGAGGTCAAGGTGAGTGCCCACTGGGGACACGGGGACATGGGGACGCAGCCACCCATGCCACCGTCCCTAACCACTCCATGTCCCTTCAGACGCCTGATGATGTCATCATCAAGCAAGTACCCGTGTCCTCACCAACGAAGACCGGCATCTTCTCCCTCAACCACAACCTGCCCGAGGTTGTCAGGTAGGTGCCACCTCCCGGGGTGGCCTGGGGACATCCATGTCCCTGGGCTTGTCCCCTCACCACGTCCCCCACCTCCTTCAGCCTGGGGACATGGACCATAATGGCCAAATTCGAAGACTCACCAGAACAGGTCTTCAGCACCCAATTCGAAGTCAAGGAGTATGGTAAGGTGGGGTGGGGGTCCCCAGACACCTGGGTCTCTTGTGTCCATCCTGGATGCCCTGGTCCATTGGGTGCGTGTCATTGTTGTCCCCTCCCCACAGTGCTGCCAAGCTTTGAGGTGATCTTGGAGCCAGAGGAGAAGTTCCTCTACATCGACCGGAAGGAGGATTTCCGGGTGTCCATCACGGCCAGGTGGGGTGGGGATTCCAAAAAATGTCCATTTTGGGGGTGAAACCCACATGGATGGGTGCTGTGGGGCGATGTTCCTTCATGAAGTCCTCTGAGATGAGGGGGTGGTACGGGTGCAAGGTGGTGGGGATGGTGGTGATGGGGTGACAGGGGGACATGGGGATGTGGAGGGACAGGACGATGAAGATGTGAGGTATTGGGGTGATAGAGTCACACAAAGAGGGGGTGTGGGGACACAGGGTGACAGTGATGTGGATGCGATGGGGACGTGGGGATGGGTTGACCGTGACAGCGGTGTCTTGAACCCAGATACCTGTACGGGAAGCGCCTACAGGGATCAGCCTTCGTCCTCTTCGGCGTCATGGTGGACGACGAGAAGAAGAGCATCCCCCAGTCCCTGCGGCGCGTCCAGGTGACCCCATCCGTGTCCCTGTCCCCATCCCTCGTCCCTACTCCAGTCCCTTGTTGACCTCCTGTCCCTTGCTGAGCCCTGTCATCCTCATCTTCATCCCTGTCCCCACCCCAGTCCCCACGGCTGTCCCCTGTCCCACTAACTCTGTGCCGCAGGTG